AATCACTGTACAAACAGACGATCTTTTACTTGCATTTTCTTCCAAACATGTTACAGAAGCAAAATGACAAAAAATTAAACATAAAATCACATGGAAAAGTCGTCATAGACACAGTCATGTCTGTCAAATTTAGTTTCACGTACTAATAGATACTCACAAGTTTACAGATGAGCTCACAATAGTAAGGTCCGCAGACTACGCAGAAACTGTGTAGCGTTAACAAGTGCACAAAAGTAGGCAACGTTATTATCAAAATAATTGCTATTCCATTTTCACAACCTTTGGACGTGAATATTGCAACAGTCAATACTTTCCAATAAATAATTTCACCGTTATACACTGTTCCCTTAAACACGCATTAATTTTTTAAAAAATTTTATAGTAAAATAATTGCTTTCCTGAATGATTGATAAGAAATTATAACGACTGTACATTGTTTTATTTTTTTTGTAACAAAATATACATTTAGTGCTTACAACAGAATTATAATTGGAATTTTAGCGTGATTATTTTAAAAATTGAAGTCTTTATTACTTTGGAAAATAAATATATTTTGATCTTGTATTACTTTGTATACATTATTTTTCCCACAGAACTATTATTATTTTTTATTAATTAATATTGAAACTGGATAGAAAATTTAGTTCAATTTGTACATAAATATTGATTATATTTTTATGAGTTTCATTTTTTATTACGACTATGTCAGTAAAAGTACTAAAAGCATTTCGTGTTCAGCACCTTAAAAACAATTTAATTTTATCTTTTCATACATTACCTTCCATGATATGCCTATCAGTTGCAATATAAAATATATTCTCTTTTAAATTTCAACACTTTCTTTGTTTCTTTCATGTAAAAAAATAAATATTGGATTTAACAGTTAACATTTGCAAAACAAGTGAAAGTTGATTTTTTACATAATTTTTTTCATAAGAACTTTTTATTACTTTTTCTTTCACTGTAATTTATATTCTGTTTTGTGAATCTCTGATGCGAGTCCTTTTTAATGACAAAAATAATTTTTATTCATCTCAATTCATTCTCGTTTACTGATTTTTTTTAATGTCATGATTATAAAAGAGCGAATTTTTAAACATTAAATATTTGCTTTTAGTCTTCGTTAGATTATAAGTTTTAGTTTCATTTACAGCATATGTTTTGTAATATAGTCCATTCCAATCCGAAGGTTTTATAAAAGAGCCTAAAACATCTTTCAACCATTAAAAGGCTTTTATACATTTAAATAATAAAAAAAAGATAATGATTAATGATGATTTTCATTTTACAATATTTCGTATTTTACAGCAGTTATGAGATTGAACTGGTTTTTATAAAAAAAAAAAAAAATTAGGATTTTGAAAATTTGACAAAATAAGACAAGTGTGCCTATAATTTCTTATAACTAAACCTTTGAGATACATTATAAATACATTTTTTATTAAGTTTTAATTGAAAAAATATATATTTTTAATAAATTTTTAAAACAAGTGGATTTATTTTAAGTTGCCGGAAAATTTTTAAAACAATAAAAATAGAATCATAACTGCGAAATCGTTACTAAAAATAGGATCATTACTACATGTTAAAAAAAAATATTTTAAAGAAACTAAAAATTGACATTAATATAATTTTTTGTATTTAAATTAATATATATTATAAAAATAATGCTAGAAAAAAATGAGTCTGTCTATTGAGTATATATTTTTCGGTATTTTAAAAAACCTCCTCAGCTGACTATTTTACCCAGATTTTATTTCAGTTACAGTTGTTCTATATTTTTCAAAATATTAAAAGAAATAATTTCGCGGTATTTTCAATTAAAATATACCTATGATTTCTTATATCTCAATCTTTAATAAATAATCAAGATTACTTTTTGAAAAATAGTAAAAATAAGTGCATAATTTTTGCAATTTTTTAAAACCAGTGTTTTTTTTTGCTTCTGAAAAAAAAATTAACAATAACAATAGGAATGTAACTACGAAATTGCTACTAAAACTAGAATCATTAGTAAAAATTTAAAGAAAAGATATTTTTTTGAAAAGAAACTGAAAATTCCAATGAGTGCAAAATAGTGATTGAAAAATCAGCAGATATTATTATAACTTTCCGTAATTAAGTTACTGTATATTATTAAACAATATTTGAGAAAAATGGTTCTGTCTAAGCCGTATATACTTTTTCTGTATTTGCAGAAATACATTTAACTCAAATAAAAAAAAAACTCTTTTTCCAAGATTTTATTTTGGTTGCAGTTGTTCTAGATTTTGGAACAAAAAAAAAACGTTAATTTCACGGTATTTTCATTTGAAATATACCTAAATGTTTGTAGAAGTTCCGTTTCACCGCTTTTCACCTCGGAATAGCTTGAAACTATTCCAAGTTAAGCCAAAAATAAGTAAGAAATAAAATTAAAGTAAAACAATTGATCCTGTTTTCATCTCCCATGTTCTGTTCTTTTACTTCCACTTCTCTGGATAACAAACCCAAACATTGCTTTAAGAACTTAGCAAAGAGTAATACTTCCTCTATACGTTTGATAAAAGTATATATTTTTTTTCCTCTTAACTCTTAAATGTCTTTTTCCGTTGCTAAGATGGGAAATCAAAACGGGAATCTTTCACTGCATCATTTTAGGCTTAAGAATGTCAATAATAAAAATAAAGGAACTGGAAAAAAATAACGTTTTATATTTGATAAATAATGCCGTATTGATTTTAAATTTCTAATTGTTAATTAGAATTAGTATAATTTGAGTTGGTTGAATGGGAAGTTAAAATAGAAATTCTTCAATGCTGCATTTCAATGTCAAAATTATCAATAATTAAAATAAATGAATCAGAAAAATAGGGATTTATATTTAATAAATAATGCTTTATAAATTAAATTGAATTTTTTTTCTTATTACTTAAATGGTTGTTCTATTGCTAAGATGGGAATCTTTCACAGCATGTCAATAAAAAATAAAGGAATTGGAAAATAATAATGCCTTATATTTAATAAATAATGCTTTATTGGTTTTAGATTTTTAATCGTTATTAGAATTAGATAATGCAGCCACTTTTCGTTCAATTAATAAATTGAAAAAAATAAAACAGAAATTCTTCACTACTTGTTTTGGTGTCAAAATTATTAATATTAAAAGTAGATAAATCAATAAAATAGTGCTTTATTTTTGACTAAAAATGCGTTATTGATTTTTGCTTTTCCATCGTTAATTAAAAACAGATAGTACAGTTACTGCTTCGGTCAATTGGTAAGTAGAAAATTAGAAACAGAAATTACTCATTACTGCATTTTAGACTCAATAATTTCAGTGTAAAAGAATTGAATTAGAAAAATTGCAATTTTAACAATATTTAAAAAATAATACCTAATTTATCTTGGATTTCTTACCATCAATTGGAATTAGATCGTACAGGTTTTCGACAATTGGAAAAATGGTGTTTGGTATTTTATCACCACATTTTTGCTTCAATAATAATAATAATTACTATAATAAATAAATTGAAAAATTAATACTAAATGTACCTTAGTGATTTTGGATTTTCAATCTTAATTTAAAAGCAAACAGAAATTTTTTAATGTGAATAATTTATTATCATTAACTGAAACGTTTTATTGCTTAAAATGCTTTTAAATTATTTTCTTTAAAGTGAGAGAATAAGCAAATAGTGTAATGATATATTGTACTCTCAATAATGCTAAAAACTCCCTAAATATAAAATAAATGATACAAAACAAAAAAAAGCATTTTAAAGTAAGTTAACATTATATGTAAACACAAGTTAACATAACATAAAAGTAACATAAGTAAGTTAACATAAAGTTAACATTATACAAAACTGAAATTAATGAAGCAGCATTAAATTTAAATCATTGATAAGAATAATTCAAACCTGCCTCACTCCTTAAAATTCAATTTAAATCGCAAGAAAATAACTGTTTCATACGAAAGCTCCTTAAAAATGTTTATTTTTTAATGCATAAATAATCGATCATTCAGTTAAATTCTGCAGCATCAATTCTAAAAAATATGAATAATATAAATATATAGTTTGAAATAATAACACTATACATTAAAAATTTATTAATAATATCGAGTAATTAATTATTGATTTTCAATTGACAGTTCAATTTTCAATTTACACAGTTACTTGTCTTTAAAAATTCAAAAAGAGTAGGGAACTCCGGCAAGATAATTAGTTAACAATTAATTTAAAAAATTATAATTTAATATATGACTCAAGCTATCAAACTACAGAATCATGCTAAGTCAATAACAAACTCTTATTGACAATTTATATGCATTTATTCATGCTCTTTGGTTTATTTAATGGAATTGTACTGAAAAAAATATTATAATTCTGTCTTCATCTTGTTTAAAAACATGTTTAAGGTTTGAGATGCATTTGAAACTTACGTCTTCAACATGCTATTTTTTCAGTCACCTCAATAATTCATGCATTGCAGTGAAATTTAGTTTTATCAACAATAAGCTCGAAACTGAAATTAAAATGCTCGATTTCAAAAGATAAGACAATAATTCTAATTGTAGAAATGCTATGAAAAATTGACAATACTGGAAGTATAGAGTAAAATGCATTAAACCCTCAGACCTTTAATCTGTATTGCTAAAACGATTTTTCCAATTTCCGCAGGTTTTGATTTAGTTTTGATTATAAATTCCTTATTGCTATATTTATTTGAAAGAAGGTTGTATACATATATCAATCTTTTTTTTTAATAATAATAATCATTCTTATATAATACTTTATATTTATATATATGTAGTTTTTTTTTAATTTTCCTGATTAAAATTATTAGATATTTCAGCATATGAGACTGTAATTATATTATTACACAGGGACAAAAATTATTACTTTGAAATGTTTACATCTCAATTTATCTTATTATAAAAATGCGATTGAATCATCACGTGGTACTTTAATTATTATATTTTAAATCTGCTTAAATATATATTTGGTACTTAGGTTAGTGATTTGTAAAAATATATAAAATTTTTTACAGGTTACTTGCCTCGAATAAGATTTTCATAAAATTATGCTTATTACCAGATATTTAAATTGGTCTATATTCTCTCTATTTTAATTAGGGGACACCTTCCTTGTTGTGAGCTCGTATATAAACTTTGAGTAAACAAGAATGCAACTAGAAAAGGATCGCACTAAGGCACAGAGGAAACAATATTACCAGATCCAATTGGGGGAAAACATTGACTAAAGCCTAATATTCTTAACACATGCTGAGGACAAGACATTGACGATAGATAATTAAATATCAAGAATTTATTTCTTTCAGTGTTATAATTCAATAGTGTAAATGGTTGTTTTCACTTATTGAAGGACAGCAGTACAAAATTATTGATGCAGCTGTGGTACACCTGAACAAGGAGAGTAAAAGTTTTACAATTCCACTTTCAATTTTTTTACATTGTATGAAAACTTGTTTTTATTCCAAGCAGCATAAATATTTATTTATGTTACTTTGAAGTAGCATTTCCTCATAAAAATCCCATGCTTGGTACAAAACAGCTTTTTTTTTTAATTTAATGCCTGTGCGTCTGTCTGTCGTTTTTGGGTTCAGAAAAAAACTCAAAAAGGGGAACTAAGAAAAGTATTACCTACAATTTTCATCAAAAATACAAGATTTTCTTAAATCAAACATCACCTCCCTATAAAATAGGTGAACCACAGCTGGTATAAAAAAATCTCCGCTTCCTATACCCGGATGATATTCTCTAGGTGCGTAAACATAGCACCAAATTATGGCTTTCACTTTCAATAACATTTTCTAATAATATACCCATTCTTGTAGAGATAATAGGAAGGGAGGTCGCGCCATTAAAAACATACACACGTTTGGCGACAATATCCGTGTGTTTTAGTTAAACAAATTTTGACAACTTTATATATATATATACTTCATAAAACTTTTGCATGACTTTCATCTTCATTTATCACATAGAATATGTCCGCTTCAGTTTTGAGCAACACCACTAGTCGTATAGACGGTAGACTTCCGTGTATATGTGTATATATATGTGTGTATTTATACATGTTTATTGTATAATATATAACGTTTATATGCATACGCAACGATATCTTTAGTTTATAGTTTCAATGTGTACAAATGAAGCTGCGTCACACTACGCTTTCCTCAAAAATAAAGAACATATCCAACATTATCTGAAAGGGCATCAGTCTAAAATCAAGAGCACCACATCAGTAAAAATGCTGTAGAACGCAGTTTATATATATATATGTATGCATGTGTTCACATACAAAGTAGTTGTTAAGTATTTTGGGCTGGATATCCAGTCAATAAATGTTTTATTTTTCGTTATATTAATACCAAATATCCATCTTTGAGGTAGAGCAACCTATTACACTTCTGTTGCTGATGACTCGTTGTCACTGTTCATCCGAGAAGCTGACGTGATATTTTTTGTTGGTGCAACTGCGGGTCTATAATAACCGGAACCTTGGCTATACATCCATTGTTGTGCTGTACCATTTTTCCATTCTTCAATTTCGCCAGCAACTGCACGAGCGTGATCAATCAAATCTGGGCCTTTCTCATCAGTGCATTTATCAGGAAGGAACGTTGATACACGGCTGTTTCTATCGTCATCACAAATAATGGGGGAATCAAAGTTTATCTTAATACCATCTGGATCAATTGTTTCCATTTCTGAGCTACCATCTCCTCGTTCCCTTTCAATTTTCCGATCCACAGTTTTCCTTCTCAAAGTATCAGAAAGCTCGTGTTGCAAACGTACATGGATATCTTCCGGTGGACCTTGCATGGAAACCATTTGATTCCGTTTATCTACTAGCACTGATGGGTTCATCAGCATAGCTTGAGAAGCATTATGTCCATCCCAATCCATTTCACTTGGTGGCAAATGATCTGGGACCATCCATACTGGAGCTGGCATGGAATGGTCTTGGACCATAACTGGATCATAATGATCGATTTCATTTGTCGGTATACCTTCATATCCTCCAAGGCGGGATGACTTAGTCATAGGATTGACCCCAAGTATTTTGAGATCAGAATCTTCCTGCGAAATTTTTGGGATAGTTGGATTAACTGAGTTACATACTTTGTGGTTAGCTTCTAGACGTTTTATTTGTATGTTTCTTTTGTTCCTTCTCCGACAAATCCACAAGACTATTCCTAAAATAACAATAACACCAACAGCTCCAGCAAGCATACCGATAGCCATACCAGCCATTGAATTAGTCTTTTCTTCTTCTTCCTCCTTAACCTCTTGCGTTTTTTCTTCCTCAATTATTTTAACACCAGTAACCGGAAGCCTGGACACCATTAGTGTAAAGTTTTTTGCCACTTTTCCAGCAGTGTTAGCGGCTACACAAGTATAAACTCCAGCATTGGGCTCTTGAACGGAAGATATTTTCAATCTAGAGTACTTTTCTTTTTCCGTATACTCTGACATGATAAAGGTTTGCATGGAAGATATACCCTCTGATAAATTTGTAATCACGCGTTCTCTCCATAGCCATTGTATTGACGGAATTGGATCACCTGAAACTTTACACTCCAAAGTTACATTTGAGCCTTCGAATACATTCATTGCACTAGAAGTATTCAAAAATGTTGGAGCACAAGCATAATCTTCGATATTTACTTCTGTCCAAATTTTATCCCGAAGTCTTATTGGCCGATAACAAGTTGGTGGTATGTAAGGAACATTATTATCGTTTAGCCATTGACGAAGCCCCCGAAGCTCGCAGTCACATGTCCATGGATTTCCATCAAGTGTTATGCCATGAAGATTTTTAAATGGCATCATGGTCTTAGCATGTAATGTTTGAAGTTCATTGCTATCGATTTTAAGTACTTCCAATTTTTCCATACCTTCAAAAGCTCTGGTGGCAATAGTATCAATTTTACAGTTACTCACTTCTAAAATTATAAGAGTCTTTAACTCTACAAATGCTTGAGAGGGTATAATTACCAATGGATTCCCGCTTAAAATCAAATGCCTTAAAAGTGGAAGGTGTCTGAAAGCTGCAGTAGGAATGTATGAAATAAGGTTATCACTGAGATCAAGTTCGATCAAATTTGAAATTCGATTTAATGCAAAATCATCAATGTGCTCGATACCACATCTAGCCATGTATAACTTCTGTAGGTTCACTAATCCTGCATTTAAAAATGCGTTTGGGGGAAGTAAAGTGAAGTTGTTACGGGTTAAATCCAAAACTTGGATGGTTGGTTCAAGGCCATTTGGAATTTTCTCAAAGCCAGCAGAAGAGCATTCGGCTGTTTGTTTTCCTTTTCTCCAAATACATTGGCATTTCAGATGACAAGACATGGCAAGAATAAAATGAGTAAGTATGCCTAAAAATACCAGGCAATGCAGAACTTTTTCCATTATAAAAGAATTCTTCTTCATTTGGTTAAGAGGAACTCAGGTGACAGGTGGAATTAAATATCAATGGGCAGCAGTAGCTGAGCCTAAAAAAGAAAGGAAAAACATGAGTATCTCATCATATCTTGTGAAAAAACGTTTATAAAATTTACAAATTTATAGCATCAGTGTATTTTATTTACGTGACATTAGGCTGCGCAATAGGCTATTGGCAACGGTCTCGGAAACATCCCTAAGGATGATACGAGCGCAACATACATACGTCCCTACCCGTTTTACAGGAAGAACACCCTCACACGCCACTCATCAACCCGCAGATAGTAATTTTGTCCTGAACCAGAGTGCAATCAATCTCCGTTCCAGTACCCCTAGAGTTATTGATTTGTTATGGAAACTTGGAAGACTATGCGACCGTGGCAGATTTAGCGTGCATCAGATACCATTTCGTACATGGGGAGTCTTTGTCCGGTGGAAATCAAGCTCACGGCATCTCGGACATGAGTCCAACGCTCAACAGGAAAAGTTATCCCAGCAAAAGCTTCAAAAGGTTTTAAACTAAGTATTTTAAGGATGCATCATTTGCATAGAAGTCAAATCGGAAGTCCTAGCACCTCACACTGTTTAAAGTGAAGTGGCAAATAAAATTATCTTAATTTGTTTGGTTTTTATTTTATTTTAAACACTTCTGTGTCTGATTACTAGATCTTATATGTTTGTTTACGTTGATTACTTATAGTGATGGTCAAATCGTTGTGAATAAAATTTGTTAAATAAAAAATAAAAATGTTTAACTAAATATCTCCTATTTAAATGGGGAGAGTTGCATTATATTTGCATATGCTGTCCTGGCACATTAAACTATGATTCAAAGACTTGACCACATGCCCTGAAATGCCTCAGTGTCATATCCTCGAACATTGGAAATTAATTTTCGAAGTAGTGAGAAACTAAAGCAGACATTTTTAAAACATTGAAACAAGTATTGATGTTTAGAAAACTTCCATAAGAGCTTTAGTACATGATTTGTACATCTGACTTTCATAGATCTAACTAAATTATTTATATACAGAGATGGACAAAGTTTCTTTTAGTATCTAAAAAAAAGAATGAACTTAGAAACCTATAGGAGAATATGTTCTGAAACTACGGAAGCTCCGTAGTTGTTGAGGAGTATACTGTGACCCTCCTCTTTTTCCATTTTTTAGTTAAACTTAAGCTTATATAGAAAACGTAAAGTAGCATTTATTTGATTCAGTGTAGAAAATTCTGTACCATTAAATTGAGCATTCAGCGTAACTTTTCTGTTACTTAGCATTTGAGTTCCGATATTTAGTTTAAATTCAGAGAAGAAAACAATTTGTATCCATCAACGGCAGACTTTTTACACACCATAAAGTAAAAAGTGCAACTATGAAAAGACTGATAATGAATATTGAATACTCATATATATATATATATGTCCATCCCA